AAAGCTTCAGAGGAAAATTAAAAGGATGTATTGGCCACATTAAATTAAATTAACGGAAAAAACATCTTCTACTCCTCATACATTTACTTGGAATTTAAATTCTTTGAGGTATATTTCTCAGAGATTAATGGATGAAGGACTATCCTGACTGCTGGAAGAAGCTCAGGTATATAAACTTTCTTTACTTCACGCATAGAAAACAGAAAACTTTCTAATTTATTACATTTCTTATTATGAATATTTTGAATAGAAAGAAATGATGCAAAATATTGTATGCATTACAATTAATGTGTACACCATTTATATCTATACTCTTATTTCTTAAATTGATTTTGAAGTGCTTACTCCATTTATATACCATGAATCAAAATTAAAATGTTGAAACAAAACTCTTCCTTTTATGCTTGTTACACCACAAGATGATATGCAAAATTACGAAACAGCAGTGGATTGTGGATTCATACTAATACATTTAAACTAAAATATGCAAATGATTTATATCTATTTTATTATTTAAATTAGCGGGTTAATGATGCATGTATACAAAATTTCCCTATCCATAATCCAGCACTGCATACTTGAACGTTAGCCAGAAGAGAACTGCTTGTTCTCTCGTACCTCCCTGCATCTCTCTCTACTCAAAACTACATAAAGAAAGTTTGATAGCTGTTCCCACATCTTAATCACACTGTATTTATATGACATATCTACAACCAGCAGGTCAGCTCCATCCAACCTTGATCTTATTTTCCTTACAGATGATCAGATTATGGTCCCAGTTGGTATGCTCAACTGTTAAAAATGAACTGAGGCATATCATCACGAAATAGAACATTTTCCTTATGCTCACCTCTTTACCATAGACACTTTCGTAATTTGTACGAAACAGCTGCAGTGGTTGAGTGGTTGCTGCAAAGACAGTTTGGATCCAAAGTTCAGTCACAGGACAAGTGTTTGCAACATCTGGCCAGACTGTCCGGAACTGTTGCCACCTTTATGCTCTGTGGCAAGAGGACCGCAATGCCTCAAATATTGACATGACCTCCAAGGATTCTTTTCTTAAGCAAAATAACTTAATTCTAATGCTGAAAAAATATGTGGAACCATACACACAGCCGCGGGAAGACTACACCGGTGCAGCACTTCATCATGTGCAAAGCTGCCAAAATACAACCAGATCCAAAGAGCTGTCCAACCTGATGACCAAAACCTCTATCTCAAAAATAACAGTTCCTTCTCAGTGCATTGAATATGAAGGCAAAACATGAAATTTTTGCCTCTCATTGCTTGAAAGATGCTGAGTAATGTCAGATGGACTTGCTCTAGGCAGTTCACATTGGCCTTGCTGGGCTACAACTGATCCTTGCATCACTGAACAGATGAAACAATCTTCTGCGAAAGATTCTAAACTTCCTCGTCACCAACTCCCTTCCTTAGCAACTTCAAAACCTGTGTCTTTCTAGCCCTCCTCATTGAGACTACCAGCATCTATGTAAAATAGAATACACTTTTTTCAGAGAATGGTGCTGCCTATTACAACTGTTACAAGCATTTTATTATATAGTGTGGTTCAAATAGGAAAACCAAAGAACAGTAAGATCAGTCAACGGTGTACTTGCATCTAAGAGTTATTTATTTCTAAATCACAGATTTAGAAAAAATGAAATTTCAGAATACTCTGAAAAGGAGTGATATTTCTCTTAAAACCAGCAATTTTTCAAATCCAGACCCCTGGACGACTAAAATATCCTGGGTAGTGGAACTATCTGGTTAACCTATTGGCTATTGGGAGCAGTGGGAAGTAGTGCATTTCTAACTTGAGATAAACCGTTTATAAAGAATTGAGGCTAGTGGTGTCTGTTTTCCTTTTTAACAATGGGATACATAGTATATTACTGATTTTTATTTAGTTTCAATTACTAAGCTAATATTACATTTAACCAGTATGTTTTTAATTAAGGAAAATTATCAAATTAGCTCTATTTTTTTATATTTTATTTAAAATCCTAGAAACTAGGAAACCAAAGAAAATAATACCTGCCTCAGCACATGTGCATGGACATGCGAATGTTAAAAATAGCATATTGGTAGTACCTGGATGAACTTAAGAGGAAATAATATAGTTAATCATGTTCTTTTGGGGGAAAAAAAAAAAAGAAATAATCCAAAGATTATGCTTTAGAATAAAAAAAACCCTGAATCCATTATTTTATGACTGGTAAAAATGCCAAAAATAAAAAGCATTTTATAAATCAAGTATCTTACCTTTCCGTCCAGGGTACACATGAGGGTAATATTCATAATAAAGATCAGGCTGGTCTAAATTTCCAAATGGTTCAAACTCCATTTCTGCATTTTGGAATAGATTCAGTTTTACCAGCAATGCTAGTCTCACAAACCACAACTAAAAATTAAAACATACGAAAAAAAAAAAGGAAAACACAAGGTTTGTTATTAGCTTCAATCTCAAGCCATATCCGAATACAATTTCAACTGTCTAAGTTTTTCTGATAAAGTTTAGTAAAGAGTTTCTATGTTGCTTACTGATAAGAATCAGGATTTCTATTTACACATGCTCTTTCACAGAACACTTTTCATAAGATCATTAAAACAAAATCAGAAGGACTGCTGTTTTAACTGTTTGCAAAGGTACTGAGATTTTGAAGGGGAAGTTTAAAAACTAGCCTGCTTCAAAATTACAACATCTCTCTTTAAACTGAGTTAGCATGTAGGAATTATCAGTCTGATTTTTAATTGTTTTTGCAATTTTATGCAATTATGTAAATCTGTTATGATTTTGTTGAAATTCCATTACTAGGGCCAGAACCACGACTTGTCACCCAGTCACATTTTGTTCAGTAAAACTCTTGTAATGTTTCATCAATCTTTATTAATTTGGGTTCTTATTTTGTTATCATCATGAAACATACTTCTAACATTTGAAATCTTACTACAAAGTTCACAATCTAGATAGTGTCCACAAACTTTAGGACAGTGAGTCTTCCAAGACAGCAAGACATATTCCTTTTGACTAGTGTGATTACCTTCAAGAACACACTATCAAGACAGAATTTACTTTGAAAAATATTTTGGTTTAAATAAGGACCTACTTTACATAAGCAAACAGAAAAAGTGACTTGCTACAATGCTTTAATAAGTTCGGTTTTTAGATAACAATTAGGAAAAGAAGTTTGGTCTTGTTAAAAAAACATTACTGTGAATATTTTTGGAAAAAAAATGACAAGGTTGTACATTTACGCATACCTGTAAAGAATCTGTTGTATGGTTAGTAGGTAGTCCACTTTTTTTATAGCCTTGACCATGTGCAGTTAGAAGACGCCCACACAAGTCAACTGCTGCCCTCCAGTTTTTACTGCTCTGGGAAGAAGAAAAGAGTAAGTAGCAAAATCACGAAGTCCCTAAAATGCCCAACTGCTTATTTTGCCTGAAGCAGCTACATGTACCCATCAGTAATAATGACAAGGTCAGGAGAGCTGGCCGGTGAGCAGCAGAATGTCATTTGTCAAAGCTGCACATCTAATTAGGCAAAAAGTGAAATCAAGCATGAGAGTTACTACTATCAGATCACTAAAACAAAAGAATACACAACACCATATGGGATTCTAAACTTAAAGCTATATCATGTTTGCTAATATACCTCAATATACTACAATATTCACAATTTTGTTTTATGTTCAAAAGAGAAAAAAATAGCCAGCCAGATTTCAATAACCACATCCAACTTACTCTACTGTTATAAAGCATTTAACGTATATTCCTGCCTCAATGACTTCAGTATTTCAGATTATAAACCCTAATGCAGTTCATTGAATGAAAACAGACTTTCCTAACATTTCCCAGAACACAGAATTCCTATCATTTAAGAACAAAGGACAAGAAACAATACAATGCATAAAATGATAAATTCAGAACAATAACAATTGTTTCACCTATAAAATGTAAATACTTGAATTTCCACTGCATGGCTAACTTAAAAATACTCTTATATAAATATTTTCATTCATAAAACAAAACCATTCCTAGTTAGACAAGTGAAACTGTCTTGTCACACTATCATCTTATTAATGCTTCTGCCTTGTGTATCCTAATGTAGCCATGTAAATAGCTAACACTACCAAAAACTTAAAACACAGACTAATGCTTCATGGGTTTTAAGCTATCATACTTTTTTAACATACAGAAGAGTTTTTCAAGAGACATGTAGCCAGCAGGTCATTATAAAACAAACATATCTTGTTCCTGAAAGTACTCTTTTTTCAAATAGTTTCTTAAATACATAAAAAAATAATGATAAATGTAACAGAAAACTGGCATGTTGTCTGATGAAATGTAAAGGAATAGAATATATTTATATTGGTGCTTGCAAAGTTCAGGTATTCACCTTGAACTGGTATTTTATTAAACTCTTTCCAATGTTTAGAGTTTAGAAAACATGTCAACACAGCAAACAAAAACTGGTAGTAACAGCTGAAGAGTTTTCATGCACTCTGGCCCCCAGTTTGCAGCCATATAGTTCAAGGGGCCACTACAGTGATCACTGTGCACTGACCACCTCATCTCTCCCCTGCCTTGTCAAATCCCAGATAACAATTTGAGTTCCACTGAAAACACAGAAGTTGGCTGACAGCAAGACCACAAAGCAGCATAGCAGCTTTTGAGATCTCTACGCTCTTATGGAAGAGCAGGAATTGATAATGCATTTATAACATCCTTCAACATATATCAGTATCAATTTAGAAAAGCTGAAAGACACTGACATGGGTTACCTGAAATTTATTCTTCTTCGGCAGAGACAAATTAATTTCTTATTATACTTAGAACAGAAGAAGACACAGACTCTAAAACTGTTTAACTTTCTTCCCAAGTGAGAGTCAGGATCCAAAAATAATAATGGGACATTTATGACAAACGTAGGTGCTACAATTTTTAAAATTCTATTTCAGGCATGGACAAAAAAAACTTCATAGAACAAGACAGCCAGGAGAAGCAAGTCTGATGACCATTGTAAAAACAGTCTTTGCTGGAAAATGAAACATTATATTCTTCGTGATTTCAAAATTAGAGCTGCCTGCTGGTTATGGAGCATAATTCTCTGTGGAAGCTTAACAGAAGGCTGCTGGCAGCATAACTTAATTTGAAATTAGTAGGACACATTATTGTCTCTGGCAATTTGTACCAGACTTACAGTGGCCAGAGTTGCCAGCCCACCAGAAATGTGCTAGTTATTTCAAACACCCCAAAACCTTGCAGGTCAGTCACGTTCACATTTCCTTTGGTCTACAGCCACACAGTCCTTACAACCCAGGTGCCTTGTTCCTCAAAGTGGGATGAATTTTGTTTGTCAGTCATAAGTAGAAGCTCAAAGCAAATATGGATACTACAGCTTCAGATATAGCATCAAAAATACTGAAGAATATTTTCCAAGAATAAAATAAACATTCTATGACCATCAGGACATGGTCCTCCAGCAGCATCGTGTGAAAACATTACTTTCTCTTAGAAAAAATACTATCAACCAAATATTATTGTCAAATAGTTCACTAACACAGTATCAGCCTGGCAGAAGAACTTCTTTCTACACACAACATTAGCAAATCTTTTTTTCACAAAAAATATGGAGCTGTTGTTCTTCTAATGAAAGACACCAGCTTGTATATTTTCTGTGCTTTTTACACACTACTAGTCCAGATTTTTAACTCATTAAGGAATATTTTTGGGTTCATATGAAACAAAAATTAAAAAAAGAAAACCAAACCAAACCAATTCAATATTGACTGCTGGACATGCACCAAAGCTAGGACAAGCAGATCAGCCACCCAATAGACAATGCAATTGCATTAGTCCTTGCAGAATTTCTCTCTTCTACACAAAATCAGAAGAGGTCTTGGGGGAAGTTTACACACAGATGAGGAAATGGCATAGTGTAATATGTTTCAGAGGAAAACGATTTTATTTTTTTCTTTAAGAAAGACAGAATTTTTTATCTTTTCATTGAACTTCGTAAGTTGTCTAAGATTTAAATACAATGACTCCAGGTTTAAATAAAAAAAAGTAGACGGCAGTGCAGGATTTTGTCAGGCTATTACGCCACAGAGGTAGGAACTAAAAGTTTTCTGTAGCTTAAGGTGATAGACTTGTGTGCTACAGAGCATCCCCCGCCCACACTTCTTTCCCCTTCTCTCTTCAGTAAGAGCAGTGCGAACAGTTTCTGCACAATATGCTGTTAACTTCAGTAGTCAGAAGAGGCTTAGCTGCAAAGTAAATTTACTGAACAGAAAATTGGTTCTGTTTCACCTCAAACCAGGACACTTGCACAAAATCTGATGTGCCTTATTTGGAACAAATGCAGTATGTTTATTATCTTACTGCTTCTTTTGATCACAAGTCCAACCTAACCAAATACTGTATCTGCAGCTTTGAGAGATAAAAATGACAGCGTAAGGGGATCTCAACTCTCTCCTCCTCAACTCCTCAATCTCTCAACTCCTCATTTTACTGACTTACTTTCCACCATTTTCAAAATAAGAACCAAACTAAGACTATCATGATCCCCTTTTATTAAAAGCAATAAAAGGAAACAGCCTAAAAAACATCTGAAATGCAGTACAAAATATGAGTTATAAATTCTGATAAATCCACATCTAAAGATCTGGTAATGCTTCTAGTCCATTTGGTCAAAGTTAAAAGCAACTGAGATATTCTGTACATCCCAATGTCTTCAATAAACTTCTTTTCTACAAAGGGGGATGAAGGAATGCGATGTAGGGTAGAAAAGAATTCCAGTGACTGAAACTAGAATGTTACTTATTCAAATACAACAACAGCACTGATGGTGCTGTATTTTTCAGATTCAGAAGTGAAGAAATCTTCAGATTGATTAAAATGACCCAATACAAGCCAAAACGGTAGTCTGTCTGGAAAACAGATTTTTTACACTTCTTCCTTTTTGAATAAAGTGTCATAAGAACATTAACTATCAGAGTTTTCACTATATCTGAAAGAATGTGTTTTCATTCAATTGTGAAGTTATTCACTGATTTGGACTGAAAAAAATACTACCAATTACCTGAATACCACTGTGTCACATGTGCAACTGTTTCTTGGAAGTCTCCTTGTGCAGGTCAATTTTACTTGATCTTTTAATTACAGTTCAACAAAGATCTTTGACATATGATTGCAAACGTGTTCATATTTCTCCTTCGTATACAATACTGTACATTGTTTTCCTGAATTAAAGCAGTGAAGCTCTGGTGGTGCAACAAATACAGCTAATATCGAGGCAGAACTCTTCTGTCAAGCAGAGAGAGTCACGCGGACTGGTCATCTACAGAAAACGTGTTCAACGGAAAGGGAAATCACCTGATACACAAAGAAAATCTGTAACATTATTCAGTCTCTCATAAAACCAATTTTGACTCAGAGGTTAGCCACTGAAATTTCACCCAATAAAATGATGCTTTTTAGTGTAGAAACGCAACCACCCCCACAAGCCCCCAATTACTGTTTGTGCTACTTGTGTCTCCCATCTTCTGTCAAATCAGCTACAAAAATGTTGGAAATTGCTCACTGATTTAGAAATCAAGGAACACAGCCCCCTCCCATATTTTTAAGGATAATTTCTAATTTATTAAAGTGAATATGTATGCCATACCACTGTATCCAAGTTTGTTATATCTGAAAATATATGTAAGAGCACAACATTAATCACATGCAAAAGTAACAGTATATGATTTTTTTTAAAATAGACTCAAAGGGAGTCATTAACTCTACATGTAACACCATTAAAGTGATTAAAATGTCCTCCTCCACTAGCTATGACATTCTTCTCCCCTGTAAATTACATTGGTAGAGCACTTTCACATCAGTTAAGAAAATGCAGCTAGTAACCCTTTCCTGGTCCAGTAGCTTGAAGAAATGATTGCATACTTGAGCAAACTTTCTGTATTTAGAGTGGCAAGATACAGTAGTTGTTTTTTAGTTTTGACAACTATCAAAGACATAATTTTCCTATAGCTGCAAACACCCTAAACCTCAAAATATCGAAAGGTCTCTGGTAAGAAATCCTGTGCTATTTGTTCAAATGATGGTAAACAATTAACCTAAAATATGGAATAACAGGAACTAACATAATTGCAGCTTGCACCTTGCATGTGTAATTTTTATTTGCTGCTGTAAAACAAAGCAACGCCGTGAAGACAACCTCTAGCTTACATTTATTTGCTCTAGAGGTGAATGCCTGTTCCTATACCAGATTAATAAAACTTTTCAGAAACTGAAAACTCAGATTTTCTGTTTTCAGTTGAATAATATAAACTCTTAGCCTCTACAGATGTGTAACTGTTGACAAGTTATCACCTCAATGATAAGCACATAGATTTATAGAATTGTTTTGCTGGACTGCTCCAGCACTCCCATATGTCTTAAAAGCATCGAAGCTGTAAAACTAGTTCAACTGCACAACCTCTTCACCATTAACCTACGAGTAAAGCATTTCCAATTCACTGTTACCCATTCCATAGCAGAATTTTAAAACGTGAAAGTACAGTTGTTCAATAAACCAACTATGCATCTTTGGGTTACTGGTACACATCTCACTCAAATCAACTAGAGACCAAATTCATGCTGAATAAACAATTTTGTTAGTGGAGTTTAACAACCTGAGTTCAGTTGCTGGTGAACAACTATTCCTTAGAAATTATGCTGCTGTTGGTGGTCTCATCAGACAAGGTGCACCTTTGGCAGTTCAGCTTACTACCTTCTTGATAACATTTGTTTTCTGGCAATTAATTGAACTTGAAGAAACTTTTGTAGACTGTTTGCACTATGATTCCGCAAAAAGGACTTCAGTCTCCAACATTCTTTGCTGTGAACACTAACTTCATCTTACCCACAGAACTGTCTTTTAACTTGTACAAGTAAATGTTTTTTACTGGAACTTTTATAAGGAAAGTGTGAAGTTCCTATTCAAGGATGTACACTGCAATCAATCCAATTTAAGATATTCTGTTGTGACCCTGATGAGCGGAGCTGGTATTTGCATTTGCAGATGTAATCTAGGAAGTATTGTCAATATATGTAAGGACCACATCACCAAACAGGGATCAGATGATTTACAATATCAGAATAACAGAAAAGGTAAAAGAATCATTAACGGGGAAAGTTACAAAACTTAGAATATAATGTGTTGAGTTCTAGACAACGCTACTGGAAGAGATTCTGAGAAGAGCTCCTGCGATGATTATGAAGACATCCATGATGAGGTGACTAGAAGACTTATTTTTGCTTTTAAAAAGAAAATCTGAGAAGTGGCAATGTCACTGCTGTCTATGCGTACAAAGTATCAGGGGAGAGGAAGCAAATATCGAGAAGAGAAAATGACTTAAAAAGCAACATGAGATCAAAACACTGAAACTGTTGTAAACAATTGTATCTTTGATTAGAAAAAAAGATTTTGAGAGAGGATTGATTAGAATTCCTTTGATTAGCCACCAAAGGAAAGTTCTGGAATAGCCTTGAAAGTAGTAGCAATCCGTATTTGTTAAAACTGCCAAATAAGCTAACAGAAGCAACTGTATGGTAGAATAGAGGAACTCCAGAGGTGCAGCTGAAGACCTATGGTATGAAGATTTGGGATACTAATGAGCCATTTAGTGTGCTTTTCCCATTCACACAGGATTAAAACAGTAACTAGATACGAATGAAGCATTTTCCTCTGGAGCAGACAGACTTGGAATATTGCTTTCTTTTTTTTTTTTTTTCACTCTCTTTTCTTTCCTTCCTATAATAGGATGGAGTTCACCCAAGATCATCTGAGATTTTTAACCTAACAAATTTATTCATAACAGGACTTAACATTCACTTTTGCTTTGAGCTGCCACTGGTGCCTTCCTACAGCACGTGACAGTTCTTCAGAATTTTAGATGGGATCCCAGATTTACACATCTAAATTTAGATGTAATCGGTAACTGCACTGAATAGATCTCTTTTGACTATAGAGTTCACACATCAGCTCACACGTAAACACCTAAATAACAGGTATCAGCCTGAAGCTGAAGTCTACCCTAATTCTATGTGTTTCTCTTCTGGACTGTGTACCTCTTTGAAATAAACTCTTTGAAGTGGCTGTCCATTGCTGCAAGGGACTGAACTGGGTGACTGAAACAGTCTCATTAATTCTCATGTTCATGTGTAGTTCACATGGATACCAAACAAACAGCTAAGGAAAAAAAATCTTAACTTTATGGAAACTGCATAGCAACATTTCCAACTTTTACCAGTTTTTATTCAAATGTTAATGAAAATATTCCCTGTAAGTGGCTCTTTGCATGAAAAGATATATTCACTGAACATATGTGGTCAGGAATTCACTGATAAAGAAAGTTAAATTGGTAGTTGATAACAGAGCACTTATTATATGTCATTCTGGCCTACTGTGTATATAAAAAGCACACACCTTTTTAATTAATATTATCTAGCATGGGATTTTAATGTTTCTTAGTCTGAAATACCTTTTACCTTTAAGACGGTTGCCAATCAGAAATAAGTTTTCCACATTAAGATTTCAGAAAAAAAACGCAATGTTTGCAATGAAAAAAACCGCAAACCCCCTAATTCTTGTCATAAAAAGAAACAGAGTTCTGCAAACAAAACTGAGAAATAGTTATACTGCATACTTAAGAACAACCAACAGCTAATGATTGAAAGCCTTGAAAACTGAAGAACATTCAGCTGAATGGCTGCAATTTTACCAAAAAAACCTATCTAATAAGACAAGTTGTTAAAAAAATCTGCTACAGGTAGCAAAAAATCTGACAGCAGCAGATTGCCTCCTTGTCTTCTCTGCTTTGATCCTAAAAGCCTTAACACTGCTCTCTGGAGCTTAAGAGCACACTCAAAGCTAAAAGAGTATCAGTGGCAGCACTGTATTAAAGGTACAAGATGGTCTGCAGCACAGAGTTAACATTTCTCATCCACACAGCTACCAGGCAAAATAAAAAAAAGATTTCCCATACGTCAAAACTCCTCTTCTGGAAGAGGGAAAGGAAGTGCTGAAAAAGACTTTTCCTCCTTCGACACTGACAGGGACAAGATTTCTTAATAAGATTTTTTTTCCCCCCTCCAAACTCTCAAGTTAAGCAAAACATTGAGACAAACAGAAAAATATCTATCTCCAGGATGGAGAACATAATCTGTTTTTTGAGGTTTAATTTCAAATATTACCTTTGAATTCCTTTCACAATGCTTGAAGAGACCACCTAGAGTTTTCCAAACGTAACAAAAAGTCTCTTCTGGAGATTTACATGTAATGTAACACAAAAAATGTTAAATACTAAATACAGACTGTCCTAACACTTACAGTTCCTCACTACTTTTCCTCAGTAATTTTCTGAGGGAAAAAAAAAAGCCTGAAATATTTTGACATTTCAACAGATTAACTAAGGCTCAGTCGTGTAACAGTAATGAGTTTTACACAGGAACACAATGGTCGAAAGAACAAGGCAATATTCACAAGGCTACTACATGTAACTATTTTCAGGTCCGAAATATTTACATTAAGGAAAGGTTTTCAAATTAGAGAAAATTAAGCTTTCATTTGGAAGTCATTTAGTTTAGTTTTCCTGCATCGAAATAAAAAATTAAAGCAGTTGAAATTATCACATCTGAATGTCTTACCTTTTGTAAAGCAACAAGGTGAAAACATAAATAATACATATGCAGATAAACAAAAAATCCATTAAAATTTGTTTTGCAATCATTTACATTACATCATTACATAAAAATTAGCAGCTGATATAACTTACAGTAACTTAAAATTACCTTTTTTCCAACTTTTGCATATAAAAAAATGTTTACTACATCATTTACAACCCAGTATTTAAAACCCAGTGTCATTCCCACTAAAAACTACTGGACTTTGGCTAGTACTTTTGCAGGATCAAGAATAGACTGAATGCAGATATTTTTTTTAGTTTCCCTTCACAGTCAGTAGCTCCCAGTGGTATTGGGAAGCATGGTATTTAATACATATTGAATTATGAAGACTGTTACTTACAATTAGCTGTTTCAAGCCTACAAATGACTGTTCCACAGAGTTGGCGTTTAAAACTTGTCTCTTCACCGCAGCTTGCTCCCCCAGGAAGCGAAGCATTAAGTCTTTTACTGCATCTCCCTTGGTGTTCATGGAACAGAAAAAGAAGAAACGTAACAAGACACTTTTAAACATTATTTTAGCAAAATAAAATGTTGAATTAAAGCTAAGCAACATACTTTTTTCCCTTTGAGAAATGCTTGTTTTCCAGTACTTTTTGTGTGAAATGAATAGAAATGCATATATATTTACAGCATTTTAATGAATACTTCTAGATTTAGTCCACGTTATTTGCTATATTCTTATTTGCAATGTTTAGCTTTCAGTTAGCACAGAAACATCCAGGCTTATTTGCTTCTCTTATTATTGTCGTTCAAAGATCTTACAAAATACTCTTCAAAGATCTTACAAAACACAGTAAGTTTTACAGGCTTTTATAACGGATACTAATGTTGAAAGGTGCAATCTACTGATGAAAGATAAACATGCACACGATCGGCTAGCTTTAAGTATCCAAAGAAAATAAACTTTGAGAGATCATAAAACCAAGTAAACAGCAACTCTTCAACATGTATTCTTAATTTCAAAAGAATTAACGGCAGGAATCAGTCAGAGAAATTGGGCTCAGTAATTTGAAGACTTGAGACTAGTCGAGACATAGACATTTGAAAGAGATTTCTAAAGTTAGGCAAGATTACTTCTACATTTTATGAAATGCAGCAGCTAAGAGGAAGAGTGTCCAAACCCAGGTTCCATTTCTAGCTTTGCCAACAATAAACTGAGTAAGTCCATATATGGCACCCTCTGTGCCTCAATTTCGCCTCTAGTCATTGTTCAGTGATTGATTTCCATGCCTTCCCGTTTGTTGGCTGACATCCTTGTGTTTCTGTGTACTACAGATTTGCAACAGTTAATCAAGAAATTCAAGCTTAACGTCAAGCAGCTACTGAAAAACTGTGAACCACACAGAAATTGGCGTTTAAAACCGTGCTGCTACTGTCTGCACGATCTTCAGGCACCATGTCTGCCAATACACAGTGTGGGACAGGGTGCAGGGGAGCCTTAGTCTTGCTGGGACTGTACACATTACTGTATACAAGAGAATCCCCTATGGGTCAGAAATTACCAAAAGCAGGTACAGAAATGATTTCTGTAAGATTTTGGCCAATCTTATGTTTTTATGTGTTTTAATCTAGAAAAGCAAACACCTGAAAAGAAGGAAAACTATCAGCAATATATTAACAAGATACTTACATTTTTATTTTTAAACAGAAAGCAATTTATAACCCACATTAAGCCAGAGTAAAGATCTGTCTGGTTCACTGTCCTGTCAGTGAATAGAAGATGTTCGCAGAAACAGTCTAATAAACACAAAAAGCTCATACTGGTCTTTCCCAACTTAAAGCAGACAGAACTTTACGGCCCACCTGCGCCAGGGGACATATTTGCCTACCATTTTTAAACATCCGCTGACAGACATACCTCCTATGATATTTGTCTTGCTCATTTTTCAGTCTGTTTTTCTTAATATCCGAAGGCAAGGAATTCTACAACTTATGAAGAGTTACATGGGCTGCAAAACAGTAACTCCCTTTGTTATGTTTATTACTCAACAGTTCCTTTGCCAGAAAACCAGTAAGTCATAATCCTCTACCTTAATTCTTTCATGAATTTTAGATCATTATTGCTCTTGTAAGTCAAAAGGTCCTCTTCTTTTTAGCTACCACTCACAAGAGAGAACGTCTGCACTCCTCACCATCCCTCCTCTCTCTCCAATTTGTTTTAATTCCATTATATCTTTTCACATCTGTGTTAACTAGAATGGTATGCAATATTTAAGATGTTAAAGCAGAAAGTGACTATGCAAAAATGTATGCATACAAAGGCATATCTGCAAAAATCCCGCTAAAGGAATATGAAAACTTTCACTTAAAGAACGAGGCAGAAAGCTATTAGCACAGCCGGCGGAAAGCAAGCCATAAAGCATTTGCCTAAAAAAAGGTGAGCTGCACAAAATGCAGTAAACGTAGATATGATAAAGATAAATTATATTATTTGCACTTTCCACATGGACAGGGATCATAGTGATGGGAAATATGTTTGTGTTTCTCTGTTCTGTTCCGTGTTTCTGTTTCTTGAGGAATGAGACTGCAACTACTGTTTCACTACATGGAAATTTCTACCTCTAATGCTGTCACCTATCCTATGAACAAACCGGATTTCCATCTTTAGGACAGAAGAATCTGAAGGATTAAGAAAAGACAGCGTGTGCAAAATGACATAATACTAAAGAATTTTTAATCCCCCCCTCAACAGTACTTTGGAGGAGGAAACATTACATGGCATGAAACAACGGACATAATGACAGCAGACAGTAACTGATGAAGAAAGGCATAATGGAAAGAGCATAAAAAGCAGTACTCCAATTTGTTCCCACACTCAGAGAGCACAGGTACAGATAATCTGTACCACACGCAATCCAAGACAGTTTAAAAAAAATAATGTGACCTGAATGATCAGCAAAAAGTAGCATACAGCTGAAATCGAGAACATTTAGTATTTTTCTTGGTGTGATTATCCACTTAACTTTTAAGACAACACTAGTACTAAGAACAAACACTTTCTGAGTGAGCAGGGGAAAAAAAAGTACCGAGCTCTTCAATATACATCATACCAAATTCCAGTCCTTCCCTGCAGCACATTTACAGTTCACTGTATATGCAATTTTCAACTAACTTCTTTGTCAACTGCACGCAGCCTGGTTTAACATCTTGCATTAACTTTTAGCTTTAGCAAACTATTCACACCAAAGCAGTTATGACCATTGTTGGGAGCTGATTTAACACTGAAAACATGCCTCCCACAATGCTTTAGTTGACATTTCAAGTACTCTACAAATATAGTTTCAGTTAAACACACAATTGGCAGTACTAGAAGCATATGGAACAATGATATCAAACCAGGGGATATCAGGTCAGTCAGGGCACGTGCTCAGGCCACTGAAAAGCAGTAACTGGAAGCGAGGAAAGTTGTATAAACATAAAGCACTTCAAAACTTGTCCCTGCTGACATGCCTCTGTGATTGTTCATACTCAATGAAGAAAGCAACAGGAATCCCCTTTTATTCCCCTGATGATTTTATATCAGGTCTTACTGTAGAAATACATCATATGGACAATGCCATAATGTCTTCTTCTCAATTACATGCTAAATGGTAGATCTGCATATATGCACGTGTCTAGATTCAGGGAATCATCAGTGCAAAAAAGCTTTTAATCCTTGACTGGATTGAGGAAGGTGAAAGAGAACTATTGTGAAAAAGGAGGCCTGCATCCTTGGAGCCTGAGGAAAGGATCATTCCTTCTGTCCATCGCATTAGCTGTCAGGAGAGAAATACTACACACTCTCGAATCACTCATCAAGATTTAAGGGATTTTTTGGGAAAGGGGGAAGGACCCTTCCATTTTTTTTTTTAGAGGGAGCATAGAAGGAGTAGCATCCTATTACAGTGTTTTCTTTCACGCTAATTATTGGGCTCTATGACAAGAAACAAATATTTTATGATAAAGCTAACATATGAAGTAGCAGCAGTAGGGAAGATGTCTAAAACTGGTATAATTTGTTGCTTGTGACAGAAACAAGTAATTCAGCTACAAGTTGCGTCAGGTAATTCAGCTACAAGTCTGCACCTGCTTCACTCCAGAAACTTTTCTGATAGTTCCTACAGATTGGGAAGTTACTGCAGACTGCTCACTGCTTGTATTTGACTATTGACTGATAATCTTTGTTATGCTACAATTAAGGATTGAAGTATCCAAAACCTCAACACCATCTCTCTAGACAACAATTATATTATCCAGAGACATAAATATAAGAGTAGGATTAGCCTGTTTCAAGGAAAAAAAAAAGTCCATGATGATAGTTATCCTTGGCTGAGCAGCCAAGACAAAATTGCATCATGAGAAATACCAAATAGATCCGAGTGAAGTTTCTCAAATTTTGAAAAAACGCTTTATCCCTTCTCACTAGTTGGGAACTCTGATAGAAGAGATCATGGAGGGAAAAACAGTAGTATAAACCCATCTGGAGTTTTCCCTTTAATTCTGGGGTTATCCTTTCCCATAGAATGCTCCAGCACTCAATTTTCTTACAGGTTATACCTTTCCACTGCTTAGGGAAGATACAAATGATTGACATTGTTGAGAGTACTGTGAACATCAATGAAAAATGTTATTTCCCACCTGCTTGCAACAGCAAATTCTAAAAGAAACAAAGCCTTCAGTCTTTGTAGTACAGCATTCTGATTTTGCATATATTCCAAATGCAAGCATTATCTTACTAACTAGGAGGACTAGAAACAAACTACTTAAAAATACAACTGGCTTTGGATTCTGCGGAAACCATCAACACTGGTTTTCAATGTACCAGACCAATTTCACTATGAACAAACCAGACCTGGTTTTAGCCCCTTCATGTATGAGTAGGCAGTGACATTAAATTTTCTAATAAGGATTGAAGTAATACATACAAGGTGACCATCAGCACTATGATATACAGATTACTGGACAGCTCTTATACAGTATTTCTAAAATATATGCATACATTAAGATACAATAGTAGATGCTTACCTGGATATTATCAAATTTTAATCCAGGCATGGTGAGATTTTCTTTATCTATGAACACAGTGCTGTATTGTTGTGTGGCAACTGAAATGAGAACATCTCTGGTTTCCTCACTAGGAAGCCAAGCATCATTTCTTCTATCTAGTTCACTCATATTTAAGGCTGTGGCAAACGGGTCATCACTCCCAGCAAAAACAGCCTGGATTTGTGAGAACGGCTTGGGGGATTGAGTTATTTCTAGAGATGATGGAGGACCACCTGCTTCAGGTCTCCCATTTCGCACAGAGAAAGTAGGGTTAGATGAAGAACAAGAACTGTCTCCACCATTAGAAAGAGAGGACATTTGTTCTGGAACTGAAGAATTTGCATTGGGATTACTAATAGAAATAAAATTGGATGTGGTAAATGAATCGAAAAAATCAGAAGCTAAAGTATTAGTGTTAACAGTATCGCCAAAGAACTTGCTTAGACTAGGACTTGGTTGAACCACCTGTGGATTCGATTTCACTGGAGTCTCAATTATACTACTAAAACTGGGAGATTTTACCATCTGAGGCTCAAAACCATCAGGTAGGAACAACTGTGGCTGGGTATTAACATTGTTTGCTTGGCTGAAGATGGTACACACAGGAATAGGCTCAACCTCTGAAGAGGGTCTGCTAGTACTGGGTGACGATATCTGGTCCTCAGGTTTGCTTTCATCAATATTATTTGGTTTTGTTTCAACAGGAATATTGTTTCCCAACTTTGGTTCCTCCTTCACTGCTTCCTGAATTAATTCTTCCTTTAAAGATGCCTGATCATCTGTTCCAATCTCAGAAATGTCTTTGGGTGTTTCTTCATGTTCAGTTTCACTCTCATTACTTAAAAACTCTTCTTTATCCCCTTCTGCTTGTGTTTTTTGATTATCTTTAGCTTCCATTTGTTCTACAATCTCCTGGAGACAACCAAGTTCACCAGTGTCATCTTCACTGTTGTTTGGTGAATCTGAAATAATGACACTTTCCATCATTTGTTCATTAAGTTTATCTACAAAATTATTTGAATCTTCTGATACAGTTTCATTCCCTTCCGACTCAAATTCATCTCCACCAAGATCAATGGTTTCCTCGTGAAAGAGAATTTCTTCCTGAGTTTTCTGTTGAACTATGTCTCCGCTGTCATCTTCATCCGAGGTGCTCTTCGCATCCTTAGCGCCAGTTTCGTTATTCTCCATGGTAGCTGAAGAGAGAAATATCCCCACCAAAACAAGCATTAGTTTTATTACTCAGGTATTGCTCAGATGCCACCCGGAAACCCTTAAGTATTAAGAACTGAAATTCTTGCTTTAACAGTATAGTAATTTCATTATTTGACAGCTGTCATTTAATGTCTACCCACAGAATAAATTCATTCCGTAAAGGTCTTCTCTTTGTCGCGAAAAATACCGGGATTAAGGAGCAAACGCCTCCCACTAAACACCGACAAAACACTATTTGCTTTTCCGCTCGCGAAGACGCGCTCGGTCCCCACTGAGGCACGGGGAAGGGCTGGTTCACGGCTGCCACCGCTGCGGGCTGCCCAGCCC